CCCCTCCCCCCCCCCCATTTTTTGTTAATTCAAATATTACCCCTCTCTCTCTCTCTCCTGCCCGTATTTTCTCTCTCTAAAGGACCGGGTTTTTTTGAACACAGTGGCGTGAAGCTGAAGTTTGGTACGTTTATCAGAAGGAAGTGTTGTTTTTTGAAGGGCGAAATGGGGAAGAATGATGAGAGAGTTGAAGCTGTTCTTCAGCTTCTTCGTAAACAAGCCCCACTTTCAGTTAAACAGGTTGCTAAATAACAAACCCATGTCTGAAAGTTTAAGGTTTTTGTTATTTTTTTGTTCTTAATTTGTGTTTTTATTTGATTGTAGGAGAAATTTTGTTCTACGGCGTGTGTTGAGCGGTTCCTGAAGGCTAAAGGAGATCATGTCAAGAAGGCTGCTAAGAGCTTGAGAGCTTGCCTTTCTTGGAGAGATAGCATTGGCATTGGTAGCTTTTTTTTTTTTTTAATTTTTATAAATAATATATATATATATATGATCTTCATAGTAATGATTAAAGTTACCCTACGTGATTCCATTCCCTTTAAAGACCCATTAGAAAAAAAACCATTTTTTTTTTTTAAAAAAAATTTAAAGCCGAGGAATCTCACCTCTGTAATATTCCTCTCTTTATTTTGAATATTCTCTTTTTGCAGACAATCTGATCGCCGACGAGTTCTCCGCCGAGCTCGCAGACGGCGTTGCTTATGTCGCCGGCCACGACCAAGAATCCCGCCCCATCCTGGTATTTTTATTATTCTCTCCGTTTCAAACTAATTTAGAAAATGCTCAAAATAAAGACACTTGAGAGAGCTTCTTTGTACTTATGGTGTACTTTGATTTGCAGATATTCCGGATTAAGCAGGATTATCCTAAGTTACATTCGCAGAAAATGTGAGTAAAATGAAAACCCAGAAATTTATGATTAATTTTACAGAAATATATATATATATATATATATATATATATATATATATAGGTTATTTATTTTGTTTAAATGTGTGTATCTATAGGTTTACTCGTCTGGTAGTGTTCACGCTAGAAGTAGCCATCGGGACCATGCCCAAAAATGTCCACCAAATGATCATTCTCTTCGACGCAAGTAAGTCCCATAAAGTAGTTAATGAATTCAAGAATTGAAAACGAACCCATGTCGGAGCGGCGGCAGTGTCTGAGTTTTGGTCTCAGAAGCTGTCCGGTGTGGGACGGCGGTGTCGCTATCAATAGCCACCGCTTTATGGGGCGGAGGTGGGAAGGGCATTATGGGGAATTGGTCAAGTCCCAGTCCCAGTAGCACTTTACTTGGAGATTGAACAGCACAAGCAGAAGTCACCAGAATTCAACTTTTTTTAAAATCAATTTTGGGGTTTTTAAAAAGAAAAAAAGAAAAAGAAATGATTGGGATAATGGATTAAATGTGTGATAGCGTGGGAAAATTGCAGGCTTTTTCAGGTCGGCGTCGGCTTTTTTGAACTTGTTTCTTCCGACGCTCAAAATGGTGGCTGATTTCTATCCCGGCCGCCTTCATTCCGCCTTTCTCATCGACCCTCCGGCGCTCTTCTCCTATTTATGGAAGGTATTATTATTATTTTTATTTATTTTGAATAAGTAATATGTAGTTGATTATTAATGGTGGAGCTGCAGGGTGTTCGTCCGTTCGTTGAGCTATCAACGGTCACGATGATAATATCATCTCTAGACTTTGAAGATTCGTTGGATTTCAGCGACTTTGCGGCTTACCCACGAGCCTCCTCCCTCCGATTCGATCAATCAACGGCCAAGATTGGCTCATCTGCATCCTCACGCTTCTCCTTCACCGTATCCCATCATTTCGACTCACTCAAGCCATGGTATCTCAGTCTCACCGACACGTCAGCTTCCAAAGTGGGACCCACCAGTCCTTCTCCACTTGGTCCTGCACTGATTTCTCCACTCAACGCTCGTTCCCTGTCGTTTGCATCACCGGCTGCGAGAATGCCACGTGGAGTAATCAACGATGGAAGTAGTTACAGCTCGAGGCTGACGAGGAAAAGCCTGTTCCCGTCGACGCCACTGCCGCCGAAAAGTGCGCCGATGGTCGGGAATGGTAAGAAGGTCAATCATCCAAAGACTCCACGGCCGTCGTTCCTTCAATCCCCGGCAGTGTTTTTCCGGCGAGAGTGCCACGTCAGTAAAACGGAGAAAAACCGGGAAGCTTTCCGGCCATTGTTGAAATTCTACAGAAGGCCATACGATGAGATGATTTACAGGTCAAAGATGAGGCCCCCACTTGGCGGATTGATCTCCATCGTCACTCCAAATATCAGACGCCGACACGTGTCAATGTCTCAACGGTTCTGATCCACTACCCAAAAAAAAAAAAAAAAAAAATCTCTTCTTTACAACATACGAAATCAAGGAGAAAAAATGAAGGTTTTACAATGGACTGTGTTCCTCGAACCAGACTCATCAGTAGTACAAATAATGAGCGAGTCACAGTCCGAGTGGCAGCCGGAGTTGGCGTTGAGTTTGAAGGCTAGACGACAATGTGGTACTTGGGGTGTAAAATGTGGTGAAAATTGTCCTGTTTTTTGAACTTTGTGGTTCTTTTTACAGAGTCTTAGGTTTCTGGGGAATGGGTAGCGTGGTCGACCCGGTAAAATCAAATGTCAAGATCCTCGAAACCTCAAAAAATGAACCAAAAAACAACACAAAGTCTAACTATTTGTTATTAATTATTATGAAAATTTGCGACTGTGTTGGATTGACCGAGAGTATATGTCCTTGGACTCTTCCCCTGTGTTTAACACTGAGCTGGGTTTCATTTTTGGTCAAATGGGTATTTGTTAATAAGCAAATGACGAAGATTAAAACAAGAAAGGTCGGATTTTTATGAGTGAAAGTGAGAGAAAATGAGGTAAGGGAGTGGGAATATGTGTCGGGGTTTATGTCGCAAGTTGAAAGAGAAAGTCAAAAGTGAGGAGGAGGAAGTAGGCTTTGGGAATTGAAACAATGGCGGAGCACAGAGATATTGAGAAGGGGGATTGGTTCAGAAACAGAATCAGAACACATGTAGTTTTGGGGAGCGAGCGGGGATTTTATTTTATCATGTGTTTGTGTCGTATTCGACATGTCGTTTTGGCGAGGGAGGGGGTTCTGTTCTTATGGATCCAAAAGAGATGACGTTGTTAGATCAGTGCCCTTTTGTGTTTGGAATCTAATGGAGAGTACAGAGTCGTGTAGGTGAGTCTGGGTTTGGATGAGGACAAGGCATTAGAGTTTGAGAGAGTGTTTAAGTAAGTGCAGAGGTTTTGTTTGGAGTTTACTAGTTGTTGTGTAGGGATGTCTGGTTTTTGTTTTGCACTTCTGTAGCCTCTACTGCTCTTCTCTTTTCATATTAAGGAATATGGACCCATCAAATATGGAACTTCTTCCCAAAAAGACACAATTGCCTCTTCCACAATCAAAATCAATATGTTTTTTTTTTATTTTAAAACAATTTAGACTATATATTTCTCGTGGTACTTCTTATATGGAACTTCTTATAATGAGGATGAATTGTGAGACACCATATTGGTTGGAGATAAGAACGAATCAATTAGGTGTAGACAATAATACTAGGGAAACAAAGAGATCATGTTGTTACAATCTAGGATGTACTTAACAAGGTAGATGCAACTTACACTGAATAACTACAGCATCGCCAACAAGAGCGTCCCTAATTCTTCATCTATCACAGTAGTTCATATTCCAGGAAGCTATTGACACTAACATGAAAATGTAACATTTACATTACCCACCATACATTATTTCACTATGTATTTGCATTGAACTTAAGGAGTTATATATGAAAGTGAATGCAGAAACAGAACAGTAGGGGCTCTAGATATTCACCTAGCTTTTCTTCTGCAATGAAACCAAGTCCATGGCAGCACCATATTTTCCATGCAGAGCTTCTGCACACCAGCCATGTCCATCGTCCACGGTCGGCATCTTGACTTCCATGAAAGGGGTTGCAGGGTGATGAGCGCCTGGGAGTCTTGCCCCAGCTAGAACTCTAAGCATATTTGAGGAGTCGATGTCCATACAGATAGTAATCTCAGGGAGTCCTTTGGGTGCTGGTGGAATTCCAATGATCTTGAAATAGCCAAGTAGATGATTTTCTTCTGCTCTTGTCTCTTCGCCTTCATATACAACAATCAGGGCCTCGCTTTGATTGTCTTTTACAGTTGTGAAAACCAATTCCTTGCGTGCTGGCATTGTAGTGTTCTTGGGAATAATTGGAATGAAGCTGTTTCCATCAGCTCGAATTCCAATGGCGAGAGGCGTTGCTTGGATGCTAAGGAGATCTAAACTTCCAAACGGATCGGCAATGCCCGATGCTACTGCACCTTCTAAAGCTGCACCAGAGACAGCAGCTTCTAAAGGATTCATTCCTTCATAAAGTGCCTTCTTTTTGCTTTTTTGCATCAGAAGACTTCTGATCTTTGGTATGTTCGAACATCCACCGACTACTACTACGTCGCTCAAATCATCAATCCCTACTCTTGCATCATGTAAGCATTGATTTACAAGGTTCTTGCATTTCTCAAACACCTCGCTGTTCACCATCTCGAACTCCTCTCGGCTTAAAACCTTGCACAACTTAGACCCATTTCCCAAGTTCACATCGATTTGAACACTTGACTGGAATGAAAGCTTGTGGATAGCATCTTGAGTCGCAACTCGGAGTAACCCCATCCTTCTGATCTCATCGATTCCACGGTGTGAAAATATAGATTCCACATTTGGCAAAAGATACTTCATGGTATTTTGAAGTAGATCTTCACCTCCAATAGGACTTCCAGCCAGGGCTTTGATCTGTGACACTCCTCCCCCTGTGGCTGATACAGCAACATCACAATATCCAGCTCCCATGTTGAAAATAAGGGCGATTTTTTCACTTCCACTGCCCATGTTCTCATGTACAGCCTGCTGCTGCTGTTGTTGGGCATACAATAAAGCTACTGCTGTTGGTTCAGGCATCAATCTGACTTGAAGGCCAGCCATTGCACAAGCACGTTCCACCCGAGTAAGCTGAAATCGGCTGAATGAGACCGGAATTGTTAAAACAACATTTCTAATTGGCCGCTTCAGTTGATGTTCAGCCATCATTTTCAGTTCAACAAGAAAGATTGCCAGAACTTCTTCGGGAGTGGTAGATCTCCATACATTATTCACCAAAGCTGCAACAAATGGACGAACACCAATGTCCAAAGTTTGCACTAGAAAAGGAAGGCTCTTGCTTGCATGAACAACTGGGTCAGTGTCAACTCTTCCAATCAAGCGTTTCATATTGAAAATTGCAGCACCAGAGAGCATGTCATACTCGTGGCTTAGCTCATTAATAACTCCACCAGAAGGAGTATCATCCTTGAAGGTGACATATGATCTCATAATCTTCTGATTTCTAGTGTTCTTAAGAAGCTCAACCTGAGATCCATTCCAGAATGCAATACTACACTGTGAAGTACCAATATCAATTCCAACAGCAATTTCCGGAAAGATTGGTGCTGATCTATCCTCCCCAGTGGTTTCACTATCAGAAGCAACAGTGTATATTGGTTCCGCCATAATCTGCATTTTGATCAATATAAAGCTCTAGCTATACACTGAACTAACGGGTAAGGAATAGATAACCAAGAACTCAGCCCCTTAAAATGAGTTTAAATTCCACTGAATCATCTTTAAAACACTTGAAAAAGAACACACAAAAATGCTTCTACAGATTTTGGACAAAATCAGGTGGATTCCATCACTTCAAAGCGTGTTATAGTTTATGAACACAAACAATATCATGTGTAAACTTGTCTATAAGTCTTCAATTTGCCAACATCTAAACTCAGTTCTCGTATAGGGCTAATAGAGCAAAACTCCTCAAATAGACGGATTGGAAATTACATAAAATTCAAATAAAAAAGATCAACTATAATCTATCTCTTAATCCAATTCTCAATACTATTACAACATTTCAAATATAAACAGAGCAGCAAGATTTCAAAATATCACTACATTCGATCTCTTAATAAAACGAAGAAAAAGTATAATAAATCAAACTCATTTGACAAAAGCACAAACAGAGTGGAAATTACGAACTGGCGCGAAGCAAATCAACAAGACCTACCAGTTTCGTGAGAACAAATTGAGGAAAGAAAATAGAATTACCAGAAGCAGCAACGATCAAAATGGTTGAACCGAGCAAGCAGGTTGCAGAATGAACAAGAAGACGGAGATTCCGGCAGCAGATAGAAGCAAGGAAAAGAGCAGTGAGAAGAGTGTTAGAAGCTACGAGAGGAATCGGTGAAGAAGGAACTGGAAAGCGAAGGTTCATTTATAGAACCCATTGAAAGAAGGGTTGATCGTCTTCTAGAGCTTCCTAGAGAAGGGAAAAAGACACAATTTTGGATTTTAAAGAAGGGGCAAAACGATGGCCGAAAATATTGTTAAATTTTTAAATCAATAAATTATGTTTCTATTGTAAATTAATTGATAAAAACAATTAAAATTAAACTCTTAAATGGTCGGTAGCCCACATGGCAAGGCCCAACACTTGTCCCTGTTGGGCTGACTTGACCCAGGCCCAATATGAAAAAAAAATCAAGTAATTTTAAAATATGGATAAATGGTTTTTGAGTTTTGAAAAATAAACGGCTTAATAGTACGAGTGTTTATGATTATTTTTTTATAAAAATCTTTAGAAAACATCAAATATTTGTATTTAAGGAATTACAAAAAAAATAATAATAAATAAATGAAAATAAATTTTAAAAAATCCGTCGGATCTTACTCCTCTTCAATTTGTTGTTTCATATTCGAGTGTGATACAAGAGAATCCCTAAGCTTCTGTTCTTCGATCACTAAAATATTTAACTATTGAAAAATAGTATTCGATGTTCATAATTGTTTCAAAAGCTTTATAAAGTTGTTGAGATTTAACGAGATCAAGGATGGAAAAGTGTGTGTTCATATTATTTGCCCATTTTGTTTTTTTTTTTTTGGTAATATTTTCCTATTTTGTGCAACAACCTCCATCTTCAAAACTGATTATTTTTGCAAAGCATAATTACGAAGTAGAAAAAAGAGATCAGAAAGTGAAGAGTAAGTTAGAGGAGGTCAACAAGAAATTGTAGTTAAATGATTTTGACAGTTTTTATTATTTATTTTAATACATCATCTGGTTTCCTTTATGTGTTTCTAAATTCATTCAAATCAAATCAATCTCTTCCCAGTATCAATCATCACCATAACCCACAAAATCTTTCTCTTTTTCTCTCTTTGAGAGAAAGATCGAGATCAAAGATCAGTTGGAGAATCAATTAGAGAAGAAAACGAAACATTTCTTATAACGGTATGGAAACATCTTCCTAGCATACACGTTCTAAAACCGTGAGGTTGACAACGATACAGGCCAAAGCAAACAATATCTATTAGCTGTGAGCTTGAACTATTATAAATGGTATCAAAGTCAGATATCGGGGATATGCCAGCAAGGACGCTGAGCTCCCAAGGGGGGTGAATTGTGAGGTCGCACATCGGTTGGAGAGAAGAACGAAACATTCCTTATAAAGGTGTGAAAAATATCTTTCTAGAAGACGCGTTTTAAAACCATGAAGCCGAAGCAATATTATCTGCTTACTCTGGTTGTTAAAGCTAAAAGGTTTATAGAGAGAGAGAAAAAAAAAGAGAGAGAGATGGGAGTTGGGAAAACAGGGTTGAGGCACACTTCTAAGGCACCCAATTGGGGAGTAAAGGATATGAGGATCTGTGGGGATAGGATCCCTTGTTGGGGACTCCATTTCAAAAGGCTTTATACATTATTTTCTTCAATCAGAAGAGATATCCAAAACGGGAAAGGCCACAAAAACAATGATCAGACTCTCAAAACTCTTAAGATGGGGTTTTAATTCGAAGGGAATTCAGGGAAGTGTGTGAAGCACAGCAGATTGGTGGTGAAAGAAGGCTTCTTCTACCACAAGGAACAAAAGTGGTTGACAAAGACATTTTACCATGAACCATATGAGAAAATGCATGATTTGTTGAATAAATGAATGGAACAAAAATGCCACAAAATCCCTCTTTCTTGTCTAAGCTAAAAGAAAAGAAAAGAAAAGAAAACCAAAAACAAATTCACACCTTTGCTCTTTCTCTTACCCTCTGCCATGAGCTGAAAGGAATGGGGTGGCTCCAATCCTTCTTCTCCCCATTGAAGAAGCTCTGGGTTCGACTCCATTCTTCGTCGAAAAAACGTAAGTCACCTCCCCTTTTCGAGCTTACTTTCGTCACTTACATTCTCTGTTTTTTTGTTTAGCCTGCATTTCTGCACCCTTCTTCTCTGTTGCTTCCTTTGACCCTGCAATGACAGCATTTTCATATTTTGAACAGCCATTTCTCCTTCCCTTCCTGTTCTTTCACATGAAAATTGTGCAGAAAAGAATCTCTTCAACACCCTACTAAGTTTTTTCATATTTTCTGGGTTGTTCAATGCAGGAAGAGGGATATATATTCTGTATGAGGATGTCAAATCATGTCCCTGTGAAGATGTGCATGTGCTTTGGTCAATATTAGTGGAATCACACACTTCATTTCCACCAAAACAATGAAGCTTTCAACCTCCTAAACACAGTTTCCCCAGCAATGTACATAAAATATTTATAATGCTTTACATACTGAAGGGGGAAAAAATGAATGCCCAGAAATAAAAGTTTACCTTCACCATTTTCACCATTTTTCTCTCTTCTGTCTAATTTTTTGTGTAGCTTCTTACAGTAGTTGCTTTGTCCATTTCAGCAGTTGTGGTGGCAGTTGAATTCTAAATTCTATACCTTCAAGGTAGATTCTGATAATGACGTGAGACAACTGTTGATAGATGAGAATAATGGTTCGATTATATTCACTCTTTCCTTCATACATCCTGTAGGCTTAAGAGTCTAGGCTTGCTATTCAGACATTTGAAATAGGGGAAAAAAGAATAGAGAAATAAAGAGAGCCACAAAAATGATGAATCTGGTTGTGATAAAAACCCCTAATCTGATAAAGTGGCATTTGCTTAATGATATGGTAAGATGGTAAGGTTGTTCACTAATCCAAATCTACCAAATGACTGATATTACCAAGTGACTTGTGAACCTAATGGGAGGTTTAGCTCACAACTTCAAACCTTATTGAAACTAAACAACAATCAAAGAACATTATTAGAGATGCCACAAGGTAATGAAATAAAGAAAGACTCTTTCTTCAAGTTTCTGTCACATTGAGTAATATTTTTAATACAATCAGTTAACAGTAAGCCTTCCATAGTTTTTCTGCTAAACAATTTTCAGACCAGATTTACATTTTACATGACATGAAGACCTACTCTCTGAAAGCACGAATCGGTGGCCATTCAATAAGAAACTACTCCACTCGAAGTTTGACCATCTAACAAAATGCCTAAACCTGCAAAGAATAAACAGAATTTTTTATTAACACTTGCTTTCATCATGTTTTGTTCAGCCTCAGAGGGGAAAAAGACCAAACTCAATGTTGTACCATACTTCAATATGATAGAATACCAGATGTGTTATGGCTCCTATAGTGCACGTGCAACGTATTTGAGTGTTCAGTTCAGTCAGGACTTTCTTAATCCCCATAGAAAACACAGGTTTCCTAGCATTCAGTGAAGATTGGTACACAGAATACTAAGAGGACGCCAACATTCTTTTGACTAATTTTAGATACCATGTCTAGAGTTCAACATAAATTAGTTAGCATAAAGGTGCTGCAGAAATTATCAATTGGTTACAATTCAGCTGCCTAATGTGTCAGTACCTTCAAAGAGGCAGAAAGGATAATGAACTTCTCTTATCACAAGCAATAACATGAAGGTAATCGAATACTAAATATTTCTATGATTGGGAAAGAAAAGCTGTTTACATGATCTAATAAGTTGCTATAACATGAACATCGATAGCTCTGAGAGGGAGGAGGGAGGAGGGAGGAGGGAGGAGGAAGGGGGTGGGGAATTGGTAAGAAGAAAAAAAAAAATCAAATGGGACCACGAAAGATACTTATGACACGTGAACTGAGGCTGTATGGCTCCTGTGTGCTTATGGCTATCTGCTTATTGATATTAAAACAAAATGAAGTTCGTAAGATTTTTAAGTGGCATTACCAGAAACCAAACGAAATTATAAAGCAGATGGTGATGGCCGAGCAACCACACCAGGCAACCAAGCTTCCAAAAAGTTTTCACAGTCTATCTCTGCACGAGACAGGGCAGCAAGAGGAGTGACAGTAATCTGAATGGAATAATGAGCTTCTAATTAATGACGGCATATCTTCCATAATGATAAGTTTTAGTTTGTAAGGAAAACGATACACACATAGCCTTCTTGTAGATATTTGAAATCTGTATCTTCATCAGCAACAGCAGCACTTATTACCTACAAAGATAATAACTTACATTAACATTTACAAAGACAAAGTTCTATTCGATGATAAGCCAGGAACCATGATACAAAACAATCAACAAATCATCCAAAATGAGTTGCTCTAATTGGCTAATTGGAAGTTGAAGCTACCTCCAACAAGTCTACTGTCCTTTCCATTTTTCGTTTAGATACAATTTTACAGTATTTGGTATCAAAGCGAATAAAAAGATACGAGAAGATTGTAGAGTTCGAACGTAATAGTGGAGCAGTGTCTTTCGAGTGCTCTGAACCAGAAGATATCAATATTGCTGTCTCTTTTAATGAAAGAATTTGGATAGAGAGGCAGAGAACCAACCTGCCTCGCAAACAGCTCAGATGATTCACTTGACATATTACATTCCACTGACGACGTTGGGTCCATCGTCATAGTTGACAACATTTTACCTCCTTGAGAGTCAGAAGTAACTCTTATCCAGCCCATTTTAGATATGCATCGGCCTTGCTTAGTTACCTTATAACCCTAAATAATGCCCACGAAAAAAAAAAGTCCAGAAGGGTTACTGTTAATCACCTCTTTCATAACATGGAAGTATAATACATTCTACAGCATAACTCAATACGAAATGGAATGATGTTCATTAGGTGTTAAAATATTTATTACCCTATGATTAGCAATATCTGTAGGGAAATCGATATTCAAGAAACAATTCCGTGGAAAAGTTTGAGCCTTGACGCCAACTAACATTGCACTTATTATGGGCAAGCAAGCCTCGGCAGCAAGCGTGTAGTCTTCTATATTGCTCCTACCTCCAACCCTGAAGCAACATAACAAGAAACAAGAAAAGGCAAATGAGTAAAGATTTATCAAAATTAATAATACTGATAATAATGAGATAGACTGATGATTATGATGATCGAGAAAATTTCCAACCAAGATAACAGTCCATTTACTGCTCTACAAATCGAAACCTTTCTTCTTCTTTTTTTCTCTTTTAAGAAAGGATCCTATTTCAATAGATTTTATGTAACAATTAAATGGTTCAAGTCTAACAATAAAGGAAATCTTTAGGCATACCACTCATAAGATAAGGAAGCAGAAGGAATGCCTTTAAAAAAGGCTTCTCGAGCACCAGCTACTGTCCCAGAATACACACTGCAGTTCAAACGAAATACTGTCGATCAATAAAGTTACTAAATCCTTTCCAACCACGCATGGGAATTTTCTATTTTGATCAAATAAGATTGACTGGTACCTACTTAGATAACCAAAACAGCTAAAAGGAAAAATATTTATTAGTCTGTTTTGTCCCAAAACTTTGGGGATTAATATTTCCAGATGCTTCAATGAGCTTGACTTCTTGTAGCAAAAAGGTTGATTACTTCACTATTCTATTTAAGAGCACATTTTACTCATTAGTTATATAATGACTTCGACGTGAGTTGATACTAAGTGCACGCTTTTCTTGCCAACACAATGGGCAAGTAAACATGCATGTTGAGTAGGGAGTACATATTTGATGCTTTAATATCATTGATAGCTGAACTTTAAAAATAGTTCAGTAAGGGGAAGTCCGTAAAGATTTGTCACTAACACATGATAACCGCAGTTGCTACCCATGTTTATGCCACTGAGTACCTGCAATAAAATACAATACATAAATAGGCAGGAAGAGAGAAATAAATTTCAACTTGTATGCACCAACTTCATCAGCGATAACAATTTGAGATGCGCTAGAATTCAACATAAAGTAGTTATTTGATTAAATAGTCCACATTTACAAATTACAGATAAACATTGGGATGAGAAATGCACTTCTTAGCCCTTATAAATCCCATCTTCTTGTCAGGTTATCCTCACGTCGAGTATGTTAAAGTGAATAAAGCACAAATAACTCAATAGGAAAATATACTACGGCCATGCGTGCAATTAAGGGAAAAAGAACGACCAGATCCGGAATTGAAGGAAAGAGAGCTTTGGATACTCCCAAAGAAGTACAATCGGCCGGAGTTCCTGCAGAAGCATTCAAGCTTAAAACCTTAGTAAGCCACTGGAAGCAATATAGGACATCAGCTAGAATGAAGTTCAAGTCAATGATAATTGGTTAAACGAGAAACCCTTCAAGATTTTCATTACAAACCCATTACTTCAAGTTAAATCCATTCAGTTCAAGTGACTATATGCTAAATTATTACTGGATGAACAGACAAGATATTGGAGATTGGACTAAAGAAAATATCTTAATATACATTAATGGTACTTATATATTGGTAAGGCCCCATTTGAGCATAATCACTGCAAATGTTTCTACCCTCCATCATTCTATCGCACTATTATAGCATCATAGCTTTGCTATGAGCACTAACATTGCTGTGCTTATATATAGAACATAAGAAATTAGACATTTCAAAGAACTAAACATCAGCGACTTCCGGTTATAGGCCGATTAAAGAATTACATTTCCTAAAACTTCTAACGAACCAAATATTTCCAGATAAGGTAGAATAGCTAAGAATCGAACAATCAGTCCACTTCAGTTTCCAGGTAAGGTACAGATTTCACATGAGAGAATAAAAACATACCAGAAACGGCATAAGAAGTGGTTCCTTCAATAGCCACTCTCTTAACAGAAATAGGATGGCGCCAAGTAATAGACTGGCTAACAGCTGACTTTTCCCTGTGTAATGCAAGAACAACTTCACAACATCAAATATATATGAAATCATATATATTGTAAAATAAAACAAACCGAAGATAGTGATTTTAGCTAATATCTTACGACTTATGACCCAATCCAATCATATTGATTAAGAAGTAAGAACAGCCGGTACAATAGTTACTTATATCTCAATTCACACGATCCAACGGCTATCAACATTCTAAAAGAAAGAAATTAGTGGAACCACTTGAGAAATGGAAAACACAACAAACGAACAAACAAAATTCACCAACTAAAATACACACCCCTGTTACAATAGGTTATGATCATAAGCTTCAAACAGAAACACTCGAAAATTGGAAAAAGAAGAAAGCGAGAGGACGAAAAGAGACAAGAAGCGTACGAATCAGGAGCACAGACTAGAACGTTATAAAGCTGAGTGGAGACGAGGACGCGAACCAGAGCGCGAAGACCGGGCGCATCGATTCCATCGTCATTTGTGATCATGATCGTCAGTCTACTGTCTGAATCGACTGTGCTGACTTCCATTTTTTGCGCACAGAGAGGGAGACGCCGGAGCAACGTAGAAGAAGGAAAGTTGAGTATGGCCTCGAACACGGGGAAATTATTTGGTGGCAAATCAGAAAGCTCCACCGACGAAGTATTGCCATTTATGATCTACATTTTTTTTTTCTTTTTTGTTGTAAACAATTTGATTTATTTTGGGAATTTACATTGGTTCCATTTTTCTGTTTTAAAAAAATACTAAAAATTGTCTTTGAAAAACATTTTTTAAAGTAAAAAGATAAAATGCTCTCTAAATTTTAGAGCACAACATTTATATGCTTATGAATTTAATATCAAATTTGTTGATCTAAGTATAATTTATTTGAATATTAAATATATGAATATAATTATAAAAAAAATTAATTTCATACGAGTGTGACGTGGCCTGTGGGTGACATCTTCGAAGTGGTCGGACTGCTTTAGAATAAAATATTGCAAAAATGCTTTTCCGCAAGCCAACCAAAGGAAAAAATTATTAAAAAAAATAAAAAAATTTATCCTCTAAATCTGGAGTAATAATAAATTGAGAAAAATAATAATTTTAATTTATAAAAATTTTTTCGGGACATGTGATCCCTTTCTAGAACTAGCCTCCTCGATGGCACACCATCCCGAGTCCACCTCTAATACTATTTGAAACAATTCAAGCTTCCCTGTTGGAAGATACTGTTCTTGGCTTCTTGGGAGAAGTTTCCACATATTTTTTAAGAATATTTTGTTTCCTCTCTAATTGATGTGGATATGAGATCTCACAATTCACTCCCTTTCGGTGACCAGAGTTTTCGTTATCGCTAGCACATCACCAAATGTTTGCTTTTGATACCATTTCTAACCGTACAAGCTCACTGCTAGCTGATATCATCTCTTTGGACTTTTCCTTCTTTAACTTCCCCTCGAAATTTTAAAGAAGTTTTAAACTTTATAACGAATGTATCGTTTCCTCTCAAATAATACATCCTATCTCACATCTAATGTTAAATTATCCATTTCAGTTCCCTGCCACCGGCTGGAATCAAATCAAGAAATTAACATCAAAACCCAAACAAGAGCCAAAAGAGACAGCATCCAGAACAATTGATTTCCATGGAGTTTAAACTAAACAAGAATTAAATCTACAAAATCATACAAAACCAGAGAGAACCGCTCCTCATCGAGAACTCAGATTCAGTCATTAGCCGTGGCTAATTGAAGCGCCAACAATTCCTCCTCAGGGATGGTTTGGATGTGGCAGTCTGAGCGGGGATAAGCCACACACAGAAGCGAATACCCTTTCTCCACAACATCATCGCTCAGCATGCCTTCGCTCTGGTCCACGGCGCCACTGACAAGGCGAGCAGGGCAAGTCATGCACACCCCAAGCTTGCAATCGTGAGGAATGTCTAACCCTTTGTCCAATGCGCTGTTCAATATGCTCTCGTCGGCATCCACCTCCAGCTCTGTGGTCTGCCCCTCATGCTCGATCACCACTTTGTACGACCGGACCACCAAGCGCCGCTGTGAGCAGCCTATCTGGGTTGTCTGTCTGAGCTTGAAGACTGAGGAAAGCTTGGTGGGTTGCTTTTGTTTTGGTAGAGAGAAAGCGGATGGCACAAAATGAAGAGTTGCCATTGTTTCTTTTCTCTGTTTGGCGATGAAATGAAAAGGAGGTGATTTGTGAGGTTGTGGGCGTTCCGAGGCGTTGGTGAAGGGATAAGGTCCTGATTCTTTGCCTTAATTTGATAAAGCGTGGCCCCATCGTAGCCGTTGGTAGTAGCTATGGCATATTAGTTAATTTAGAAGAATGCCTCACAACCAAGATAAGTGTTTTTTTTTTTTTTTTTTTTTTTTTTTTTTTTTTTTTTTTTTTTTTTTTTTTTTTTTTTTTTTTTTTTTTTTTTTTTGTTATTTGTTATTAGAGTATGTGGTTGAGATAGGGCTAAGGTAGGGCTAGACACTCTCCATAGTAGATATATTTTAAAATTGTAAGGATGACAACGATAAGTAACGAGCCAAAATGGACCATATCTACTAGCAGTAGGCTTATACTATTACATAGATAACATGAAAAAATGAAACTATAGTGAATCAAGCTCAAAGTTGATCAAACCTAGTTTTGACTAGTACCCAAGTCAAATCAACCACACCCAGAGCTTAATTGAGCCTCCGAGAACTTATTTCACAAGCCAGAGACCAGTTTGGGCACCTAGGGCATGTCCAAGGTGGTTGAGGGCTAAGGTGAAATCGACACGTCTCTTCCCCTATTTGAGATCCAATTAAACTCCTTGGAAAGATAGAAAAAAGCCAAAGATCCAAGAATTCAAACTGACCTAATTGCCTTTGGACGGTGCATAATACATGCCATCAACTTAAAGAAATCTTGATGGACCTAGATCAACTTTCTCAGTCTAGTATAAACATAAAGGTTATAATCCCAAGTCAATCGTAGTATAGAATACATCGTTATAACTTAGAGATGGACAAGTTCTAACTCATGTCAAGTCATCGTTCACAAACAAATATAATTATAAAATTATCATAACATAAAATAGGTTAAATAATACAACTTTTAATAGGTTACTAAGAAAAGTTCAAACCTCAAGCCTATTTTTAGTTGAATTATTTGCTGATTAAATTATAAAAAATACCAAAAAATATGAGTTTGTTTCAAAAACTTTGGAAAGTTTTAATTTAATTCTTGAAATTTAAAGTTGGTATAAAAGCCACCTTCGTAGAAAAATATTTAATAAGCTTAGTTAAATTCCCAAACTACCCTCGTGGAGTGACGCAACTCACCGTGTGGCCCAATTTTCTTTAACTCGCTGTTCCACCCCTCTTTCCATCTCGCTGTTTGCACTCTCACAGCTAGCGCAGTTGTTCGAAGTCGTCGACTCCTCGAATCGCTCATCACTTGGCTTCATTATCAGCGCTGATTAGCGGCATCGATCAAGTATGTTTTGTTTTCTGTTCATCTCTTTCTCGCTCATCCACTTCTTTTAAGTTTGCGATTGAATGCTTTCAATTTCTTTGCGGACCATGTACATGTTTTGCTTGCGGCTTCTACTGAGATTAGGTTTTGCTATTCGTTTGTGTTTTGAGTAAATGCTGGACTATGTACCCTTCTCGAAGGGTTTAGGGATTTGTTTTATCGTTTTGAATCGTTTGTACCTTTAGTAACAGGACCGATACCTGTGGTTCGTCTTTAAGTTGTTTGCTGAAAATTCCGTAGCAGAAATTTGGAGTTAGTTGTTTTCAATTTGAAATTTGGCCTTCGTTATATTGTGTTTTTGCAAGTAGGCACCAGTACCTCTTGGCTCAGTTCACGATTGTTTAAGTATTTGCAGTTTTGGTATGGTCTTCCTCTGAAATTGGGATCTCAGGTGTTTGTTTGTTGTATTGTAAACTATAAAGGACGATCTTTTAAGACTTTACCCCAACTTATCGTGCTAGAACTCAATTTCTTAATCGACGGTTCTTAGCTTGAAACTTTGTTGCTTTTCTCATCTGCTTCACTTGCCTTTCCGTGCTTAATGTTAATTTTGATCTCATTCAATAAAGTAACATTATTGTTACGGGAATTTGTTGGTAAGCTTCTAGTAGTTGGAGGATGGGGTAGTGGTGATTTCAGACTATGGTTTAGCTGCTTGGTGCTGCCTTTCTTGAAATTAAACTCTGAAAGGCATTCTATACGTCCAGTTTATCAAGGAAGTTGTCTTACTCAGAACTTAACTTCATGATCTCACCCCATCTATGCTCAAAGTGGACTTCCAGCTTTCCTACATTGTGAGTAGGGAGGAAGGAAGTCTGTGCGGACTGCAATGTTTGTTTCTTTGCTTGATTTGAGGGATATCTGCACTGGGGGGCACTAGATGTGGCTATTTCTTATGTTTGGCTGACTTTCGCTGCTGGTTTAGAGTTCTGAGTCTTTGACCCACCATCGACAAAATGGGAGGAGAAAGTTGAAGACAAACTTTGATCAACTCATTGAATCAAAGTATCGAACAGATGGGCTGAATTTGACATAGCGGATGAAGATCATGAGGTTGCTCTTTTGATGTAAGACAACTTCCTTGATGTGCAAACGGCTAAGTAATATTGTAATTGATCCGTGTAATAGCCCAAACCTACCACTAGTAGATATTGTCCTCTTTGAATTTTCCCTTTCGGGCTTCCTCTTAAGGCTTTTAAAATGCGTTTGCTAGGGGTTGGTTTCCACACATTTATAAAGAATGCTTCGTTCTCCTCAACCGATGTGGGATCTCATAGTTCACCTCCCTTCGAAGCCCAGCATATTCGTTGGCACTCATTCCCTTTTCCAATCGATGTGGGACCCTCCAATCTACCCCTCTTCGGGGCTCAACATTCTTGCTAGCACATCGCTTCATGTCCACCTCCGTTTGGGGATCAGCCTCCTCGTTGGCACATCGATCGATGTGTGATTTGATACCATTTGTAACAGCCTAAGTCCATCGCTAGCAGATATTATTTTCTTTGGGCTTTCCCTTTCAGGCTTCCCCCCAAGGTTTTTAGAATGCGTCTGCTAAGGAAAGGTTTTCACACCCTTGTAAAGAATGCTTCGTTCTCCTCCCCAACCGATGTGGGATCTCACACCCCCCTTCTCTACCATGAGTTTATTTTTACTTATAATATTATTGATTTTGTCTTTCTATTTTCAAGTTCTTTCAGTATATAAAAGCGTACAGTTTCATTTCCGCACCAAAAAACTTAATTCATTCCTATCTAGAATTAAGGATGCAACTATACTCATGTAGAACCACGAAGACACCGTTTGTTGAAAAAAAAATTATCTACCCTCCCCTTCTTTCTTCGCTCTCTACGTCTGTTGAGACAATATGATCTCATCCTCCACGAGAAAGCCTTTCCTTGCCAAAATTCTCCGTGAATATACACATACCAAGTCATGCTAGAATTTTGGGGTTGGGAGTTGTATTGGATAATTCCTGCGGATGGAAGCACAAAGTAATTCTTCTTTTAGTACTGTAAATTGTTTACTAAGTTTCTACAACTTCACAGATCAAAATGGCGAGCTCAAGTGAGAGTGAACGCAAGGAACCAGTGAACGAGCAAATGGTTGCAAACATGTATGGTGCTTTAAGGTCTGAGCTCAATCAGATATACTCAAAAATCACAGAACTCGAGATGGAAGTCAGTGAACACTCTCTGGTCATTTCTGCAATTGAGCCACTTGATCCATCAAGACGATGCTACAGAATGATCGGGGGAGTGCTGGTGGAAAGAACTATCAAAGAGGTCCTGCCCGCTGTTCAACGCAACAAAGAGGGACTTGAGGAGGTGATTTCCAGACTCAATGAGGCATTGGAGAAGAAAAAGAAGGAAATTTCTGACTTGGAGGCCAAATACAAGATCAGGATTAGAAAGCCTGATGGTGAGGCTAAGGAGGAAGACAGTGGGCGGAAAGAGGGTGCAGCCCAAGGAGTCTTAGTAGGCCCTGCAAATGAAAGTTAAAACTCTCAACCCCATTGGTGCATTTTAATCATATTCTTGTAGTGCTAAACTTTAATTTTCATGCGGATGACTCACTGTTTTTAAGCGCGTTTGTGTGAAATTTTGTTGACAACTTTCAGTTCAATAGGAAGATTCCAGGACTTGTGTGGTATATAGATGATTTTGAGGGAGGAAATATTGAATGGGAACCGACTTTTCAACGTTTTGATATCGAAAATTTCCCATTAGTTTGATCATATGCTGCAATGGATTCTGTACTTGAGCTTTCAGATTCAAGAGGAAATTACAAACTAGTCTCTTCCTTATCCTCCTCTCAGCTCAATATGATTTTCTCAAGGTTACAAATTAAGTAAAGAAAACCAAATAGTCATAATCGAAGCTTCCTTATCCTCTCAGCTAAAGAAATCCTGAACTCCTTTTCCAGCGAAAACTCGGTCGGACAGCTCCGCCAGTAAGGCATTCACAGTGAGCAAAACGACACTAGAACCAGCAATAACGCCGATCACCACCCCCGTCGTGCCCAAAACCTTTCGAAACGCCGGCCACTCAATCTTCTGAATCTCCTCCGCCACTCCGCCAATCAGATCCCCCTCTTTCTCCACCTTCCGCTGCTTCAAAGCCTCCTGAATTTCGGCGCCCAAATTCTCGCCGGATTCTGCCGGTTGGTCAGCCGTTTTCGACTCCTCCGTCGGCGGCCCAGCTTGAACCTCCACCCCATCAGATTCTGTATTCTCTTGGCTTTCCTGCACGGCATTGACAGCGGAGAACTTGCTGTTCCTTCTAGACCTAACCCCCGGGAGTCTGATCGTGCGATGTGAGTGAGGATGAGAACGATGCGAGGAGCTCCGCCGTAGTGATACGAACAAGGAGGCCGCTCTGTCAGTTAAAGTGGAAGGTACCGCCGGAAATCGCAGGGAGATCGGAACGGCCATTTTCCGTATCGGCGAGCGGTCGAGAAATCAGATTGAAGAAATGGATTAGGAGTCAAAGAATCAGATTTGGGGATAGCTAGGGCTTTGTTCGTGGCCCACATTATCTTGCACGATGGTGGGGTACTATATGGGCCGAATGTAGAAAAGGCCCAAACATGTTTAGTTGGGCCTAGTCCATGAGAATTGAAGATTACAGGTGGCTTAGTTTTAAGCAAGTGAAAATGAGATTAATTAAAGACTAAGTTTTGTTAGTAGTTATGGTTATTAAATACCCTCTCAATCTACCTTGAGATGAATGAAGTATTGAGCCACCAAATAAAAGGGTATATTAGTTGAGAGAAAAATGGGAATGGTATACTTAAAAGAAGACCAAAAATAAAATAAAAAAAGAAGAAAAGAAAAAAAGAAAAAAAGAAAATTGCATAAAAGTACTAAAAGAATGTAGATGCCTCTTGGAATCTCTGTTTGGATCCACTTTCCCCTTGTCCCCCTTTTTAGTTCATATCAAACAAACCCCTTTTTCTCTCTCGCTCTCATTGTCTTGGGTTTATCACAGCTACCACCCTACTTTTATAGCTCTAACTATATAATGTGTGGATTGGTTAAATATTTATCATCGGGAAAATTACCTTTTCATAAGTAATTAATTACCTATACTCTATCATCGGCAAAATTAATTACTTTCTACCTTCTACCCATAAATATATATATAGCTAAATTACCTTTTGTGTGTTTTCCTTAGGTAATGATTTATCCTTTTGAACATTATAAAATCAAAAGCATTAAAGTGAACTTTGGTATGGTAAAAAGGAGATGGAGAATCTCCTTGGGAAGTATACAAATTAATAAAGGCTGTGGTCACATTTACATGCATTAAGATAAACTTGTAGCTAATTTTGGTAACACTTTTTTTATCTACTTTATTTATCTTTTCATCATTGATATTTTATCCTAAAACGGTAGTTCTTAATTGTCAACCTACCTTACGTGCATGTATACAAACGGAGATCTTAAACTTTTAATTTCATCAAATTTTACTTTAAAACGTAAAAACTCATTCAATGAAATTGTTTTTTTTTTCTTTTTTTAATGCTTTTGGGTATCAAAAAAATGGTCCATTTAGTGTATTTTCATTTTTTTTATTATTATTATTTACTTTTTTGGATTCCTATCCCATTTGCCAATAAATATGGAATATTGATAGATTTTTTATTTTATTTTATTTCCCTCCCTATTCCAACATCAAAATAAAAATAGTACATATAAATTATTTTTACACAAAGTTGGTTAAACATTAGTATAGAAGTCTTTCCTTAATAGATATATTTTAAAAAAGGAAAAACGTAAAGAAAAGGATATCTATTAGTGGTTGATTTAATTTTTACGGGTAAAAAAGTCAACCTTACACAGCAAAATACACCGTAAATAAATTTGTTATATGAAGTATTTTTTATTTTCTAAAATAAGATATCTTAAAATTTTCCAAATAAATTTTCAATAAATTCAATATTATTATAATAAATATCATCCAACCAAAAAAAAAAAAAAAAAAAAAACATTTGAAAAAAGGGAACAATCATTAACTTCCCACCGTAAAATCCGACCGTCGTTTTCCCTCCACATTCATCGTGGAAGTGATGGCCATTAAATTCCCTACCAACCACTGAAAATCAGCTCCCTTATTTTACTTATCCAAACCGACAGACAACTCTCCCCCGTTACAATCTTCCTTATTGTGGACATTTCAGTGGATAACACAAAATCTTAGTTTAATTCATTAAGCTCGATGAAAAGCCCTTCATATTCCTGAATCTGTATTGCCCATGATTCGAGTTCAAGTTTCTATTATGGAAATTGAACGGACAGATCAAGGAACTCGTCAATGGAGGTCAATAATATCNATTAAGTAGCAAAACATGTGGGACATAACTCATAAAAGATGAACACAATTCAATTGGCAACCAAACCAAAATGATTTCCATGAAAAAAGATGAACACTATGAACATATAACATTCAAAATCATTTCTTTCCTCTCCCAAATGAACCAAAAAACAAACAAAAAAACAAAACTTCTCCATACCCCACAAACTCCTTGTATCTTAAATTCAAATAAATAATAAAAAAAAAAAGCTTTGTGTTTCAGCTCTTAGCCCTTCTTCCACACTGCAAACGCCATTAATTTACAAGCATTTATGTCATCACCAAACATGAACTTAAGAGGACCACTCCCAACCCTTCTCCCTTTCTCTCTTCTTCTCTGTCTCTAAGGACAATAAACCAACCCTTCTGGCTCCCTTTTGTCAGCAATTATGTACCAAAACAAAAGAAAAAAAACCCCCTTTTTTCCTTTCTTTTCTTTTCTTTTCCTTCATTTTCTCTTCCACCAACCAAACAGTAAACGCTATATTCTCTCTCTTTTGTTGCATATCCCACGCTTTCCTTCATTCTGTGTGTGTGTGATCATCCAAACCCACATTTTGTTTTGTCTTCTTTGAATCAACATTCCAACTTTCACCAACTACTAAGCTTTCACCTGCAAAAAGGAGATGAAAAAAAGCCGACCCATTTTCACTTTCAAGAACATGAACATCCAAACAAATAATAATCCCTTATGATTATGAAATCATTTGGTTCTTATAACATATTTCTTGTTTTGATCCCTTAAAACAAGAAAGGAAATGAAATACTTGCCTACACATGGATCGCCAATTTGTACGAGGATTTTCCAATGAGCTTCCTCTGACCTTGTCGGGAGTGGAATTGGTGTAGACGATATTTTTTGTTTGTTATTGGACCAACCACCTGTTTGAGTTCATATTGTGCTGCCGGAGATGGTGGTTGGAGGGTGATTCCGGCGATGATTCCAGTAAAGAAACGACGAGGTCGGAGAAAGCTCTTAATATAAACTTGTGGGTATCAATGGGGTTGATTTGGAGATAACAGAGTAGAAGCTCCTGTAGATACTGCCAGTCTCGCCGGACGTCCACTGGCTGATCTCTCGCTTCGACCATCTCCTGCATTGAAGCTCTAAAATCGAAAAATGGGTCTATAGAAACCTTCCGAACCTTGACGCCGCCGTGCACGGCGGCGGAGGCGGCGGCGCCGTGATGGGTGTCGGGAGAAGAGTCGAAGATGGAGTTGGAGCAGCCAGGTGAGGAGAAGAAGAAGCGATGGGAAGCGACGGCGGCGGAGAAGTCGGGTACGGCGTCGGAATCGGAAGTGGAGTCGTCGGAGAAAAACCCATCATCAGCAGCGGTGGAAGTAGAGGAGTTGTCTGAGTTTTCCAGGTGGGTAATGGAAAGGGGTTTTTTGTTGGGCGTGTGCGGCGTCGATGAGGGTTTCACGGCGGCCGGAAAGCAGCGGAGCTTTGAGAACCAGAGATGGAAATTGTTTTTCTTGAGAGTGGACATGTTTTTAGAGAGAGGAAAGTGGGAAATGGAAGAGAAATTGTAGGAGAGAGAGAGAGAGAGGAAAAGGGAGATTATAAGGTACTTGTGTGTGGCGATAAATGGGAAAAGCAAAAGTGGGGCCCAAAATAAGGTCAGCCAAAGTAAATTAAATTATAAAAACTATGGTTTTTTTAGGTGCATTTTTATCAAAGTTTTGTAAGACAAAAAGCATGCAAAAATAGAAATAAATGTTGTCATATGTAATATTTATGTACATATATTTGGATAATCTACTTTTTCAGACTCTTTAAAGCCTTTGGGTTGGATTATTTATTGACCCTGTATCATAAATATCATAGTTTTTTAGTTTCTTTTAAAAATTATTGTGTTAATAGTAGCTGATGCAAAAAGAATGGGACGTGTAATGTCTCGAGCCTATATTTTATGATAACTTACGCATAGATCAATTGGTTCAAACACATACATTTGATTGATAAGTCAAATGCAACGCCCCATGTATAGTACTCAAATTTGACATATGATTGTTTCGACGTTTCTCGTATTGTCTACCAACACAAGCCATTTATAAAGAATGTTTTCTTCCCCTCTCCAACTATTGTGAGATGAGATCCCACGTTGGTTGAAAAGGAGAATAAAACATCTCTTGTAAAGGTGTAGAAGCTTCTCCCCAATAGATGTGAAAACTGACGTTGATACTTAACGGGTCAAAATAAATAATATCTACTAGCGGTAAAACAAAATTACCAAGCAATCACCTAACATAAAATTACTTCAATGGAACTTCTTTCTTAACTATTATTTGGATAAAAATCATTAAAATGGTATATCATTATTTGAAAATGATTTAAGGGTTGTTTGTAATGTAAGCTCCATATTTCTCCCCTGAAACAGTAAAATCTGGTTTCCTCTCCTATCTGTGAGGAATGGTACGTTACAGTGGGAAATGGATAAAACAGCTGAGTCCCAAAAACACATAAAAGACAACATTTTCTGAATAATCAACCATTACTAAATGCATACGAACTTCAATTAGCAAGTAGTTAATTTTTGTTTTTAGTTTCGTAAGAAAGTAAAATCCATCATATTTTAGTAGTCGATGATATAATATTTTAGCTAAGATAAGTCATATCCTTCGTTCATGAATAAATCTTCGAAAATTTTACATAATTAGAGGGCAATAGAGTTTAAAACATTTTTGTTTTTAATATACTCTCTCAAAATATAGAAAATAAATGAGCCAATAAAATATATTTGTAAGAGAAAAAGCTTAAAATATAAACAAAAGAACCTGACTCCACAGTGAACAGTGAGCAACAGGAAAAGAAGAACAGGGGGGGAAGCTGCTTTTTTGTCTACCAGAATTTTAGTTTTAAGGACACAAATAACGGTCTCAGAAAAACAAAAAATTCCAGATCAAATCATACACTTTATTACCAAAAACACAACTCAAAACTTACAGTTCAGTTGAGCTCTTTTCATATATTTGTGCCGCTCTCATTCAGTCTTGCGGCGGCGGTGATGGAGGCCGCCACCCCACCTGTGTGGGTTGTCAGGTGTGGATTGTTCCTCAGCTCTGCGCTCACCACCCCTTCTGCATCCTGCCTGCTCATTGGCTTGCCTGTCGCCAGTTTTTCGGTTGCGCCCTGTTCAGATAGAAAGGTAAGGATACAGTGATATCAGCTGCTGCTCAAATCAGAAAAAGTGAAATGAAACTAATATCGTCCGGTTAAGTAAAATTTGGTTTCAAAATTGAATACCATTTGATGGGGTTTAGATATGAAGTACTGATACCGTTAGGACATAGTTGAGCTAAAAGGACCCGTCAAACACAACATCATGTAGAGATTTATCGGAATAAGACACTAAAATGAAAGATAAGTTAAAAGTGACCAAAATGAACCAAAGCAAAAATTATTTCAACTAAAGGTAAAGCATAAAACTTGTAGTGTATTCAAGAAATAATGAAGAGAGAAAAAGAACGTACAGATGGGAGATTCAAGGTGGGAACCTGTCCGCTCTCATGGCTTTACTTTGGGCTTCTCCAAAAGACTTCATACCAATGGAGAGAGTATTTTTGTTTATAAACCCACGATCATTCCCTAAATTAGCCGATGTGGGACTTTCATCATCCAACACGCTCATCGTTGTCATTCCGACGAGGCTGCTCTGCTGTTCTTCGGCCCTGCGTGGCTGCTCCTGACTCATGATTTCCACACAAAATCAAAAACTATGGGAAGTTCTTTTCTGTGATGGCGGCTGGATATTGAGGTTCGCTATTGGAAGGATGGTGATTTGATGATTTTACGTACAGATGGTGAGTGGGGGAAAGCTAGAGAAATCAACTGCAAGAAGGTGTTAGGAATTACTACCTCTACAATGGTTCGATATTATCTACTTTGAGTATAACCTTTCCTAACTTTGCTTTGGGCTTTTTCAACTGACTTCATTACAACGGAGATGTATTCCTTACTTATAAATCCATATAATTTCTTTAATTAGCCAACATTAGACTCCCTCCTAACAATCATCAGGGATTACGAGCTACTTAGACACTTGGCCTTGACACTTGGCTGAGTTTTGAGTAAAGATGGCAATTTCTGGAAATTTATTGGTATTGAAGCAAAGTATTCTCAAATCTGACGAGGTTGATATTGAAAATTTGTCAAACTTATAAGCTTTTGGGTTGTATGTGTTTCTTCCCTGCACCTCAGGCTTACATATGATCTAAACATTTTCAATCTAGTTTCTATAATTTGGTTACTTAATGGGTTAATTATTCTACTGCATAAGAAAGACAAAAAGAGAGAGAAGAAAAATTGAAAGACAATCAGGTAGAAGGATTGGAAGCTTATAATTTTAACAATTAGAGTTTTCAATGAGATAGTTTGAAAAGATACAGAGGGGAAAAATAGAGTCCCCAGAAAAATAAATATCATTGCAGATTCTTGATTGATCACTAGAGATGATTTCATACCTGCAGCAAGTGATACGCAATGGCGCCGACAACAAGGGAATTGCTCTGATGGTGGCAGCCAAATTTGGTTAATTCTACGCTTCAAAAAGAGCATAATTGGCTTCTGCAATGCTACCAGCAGCTTCCTGCATCTCCTTCCTCAGATTCCCCAGCATATCCTGCAGTTCAGAGTCCTTCTCATAGCTTTTGTCTTTCGCTTGGAATATATGAATTCTTCTGTTTACTGTTATCCAACTGAATCCAGCCCCCTTTTTGATCCCTACTTCTTTCATCTCATTACGTATGACCGTCACTTCTTCCCACCTGCCCCACCATAGAATTTTAGAGATCTACGTCTTGAAGATCGTTAAAGATTAAGTACAAATTTTCAGATTAATGGTAATTAAGTATCAAAGTAAGAAGTTTTGTCTTTGAACTTCCTATGATTTTTGGAAATTAATAATATATGTGAATTTGAAACTGGGTTTACCTGCTAGTTGCAGCAAGCATATTGGACAGCACAACGTGGTTTCCAGAGTCTTTTGGATCAAGTTCAAACAGCTTCTCAGCGGCCAACTTTCCCAATTCTGGCTTCCCATGCATTCGACAAGCCCCCAACAGAGCACCCCAGATTGATATTGTGGGAGGAAATGGCATGCGCCTTATAAAATCATACGCACACTCCACCATTCCAGCACGCCCAAACAGATCTACCAAACAAGCATAATGCTCCGGCCCTGGTTCTATACCGTATCTTGCTTTCATGGACTCAAAAATCTGCATCCCCGTCTTCAAATCTCCTGCTCTACTGCAAGCTGATAATGCACAGACTAAACTTACATAGCTCGGTGCTATGCCATCGGCCGATGCCATCTCCTCAAGCAATGCCACAGCCTTGTCTGCACATCCTTGATGTGCGTATCCGCCCAATAATGAATTCCAAGACACCAAGTTTCTCTCTGGCATCTCGTTGAAGGCTCGCTCTGCTTCATCGATACTTCCACATTTTCCATACATGTCAACCAGTGCACTTCCAACAAAGATGTTCTCCTCTACACAAGCCTTGACGGCCAGTGCTTGAACTGACCTTCCCAACTCGATTTCTGAAAGTCCAGCAGAAGCACAAAGCACACTCGATACCATAAAATCAGTTGGTTTGATACCTTCTTTCCTCGCTCGCAAGAATAAGCAGCAAGCCTTCTCTTCCTCGTTGTTTTGAACGTAAGCAGCTATCAAGGACGACCAAGATACGCTGTTCCGCTCTCCCATTCTGTCAAAGATCACCTCAGAACATATAACCTCCCCACATTTCCCATAAAAATCAATCAATCCATTTGAAATAGAGACATTCTGCCCACACCCACTTCGAATAATGAACCCATGTAGTTGACACCCAGGCTCCAAGCCTAGTTTGTCTGAACACGCATTGAGAAAAGCACAAAACGTAATGGAATCTGGCTTCCCACCAGCTCGTAGTAACTCAATAAACGCAATGGCAGAGTCTTCAGGTCGCCCATGGAGCACTGAATTGGATATATACGCGTTCCACGTCTCGAGGTTTCGATGAGGCATTTCAACAAACAGCTTGTATGCGTCATCAAGAAGGCCCAATTTGCTGTACATATCGAAGGCACTGCACCCGACGAATACATCATTTATTAATCCCTCCTTAACCGCAAGTGCGTGTAGCTGTTTGCCTGTCATGGCCATGCGAAGACCAGTGGAGGCTTTGAGAACGCAAGGGAAGGTGAAGTCATTGGGTCGAACACAGTCACTAAGCATGTCGGAGAAGTGAAGCAGAGCAGAAGAAAAACGGCCGTTTTGGACGGAGCCGGCGATGAGAGAGGTCCAAGTGACGACGGAGCGGCAAGGGGCAAGTTCGAGGATGAGTTCGGCCGAGTTAAGCTGGTCAAGTTTGGCGTACATGTTCACGAGGTGGTTGTAGAGGAAGGCTGGAAAAGGGGTTTTTAGGGTTTTGAGAATCTGGGCATGGGCGACTCGGCCGAGAAGAGAAGAACGAATAGATAAGGCCAATTCGACCAGTGAAGCGAGCGAATTCGGCGAGAGAAATGGCATGGTTGACTACTGCGAAGGTCATGATCTGTTGACTACTGCGAAGGTCATGATCTGTATAAATCCGAATGAAGAAGAAGAAGAAGAGCCAGAGAGAGCAATTTTACCGTCTGGTTCTTCCAATCACGAGAAGCTTTCGAGGTTTCATGCTCCAATGGAGAATCATCCTCTATGAAGTTACTCTGCGTCGGTTGGATTTGGCGGGAATTCGAGAAGCCATGGAATCATGCTCAATCATTTAAATATATATATATATATAAAAATCTCAATGTGGGTTATTACCATACAAATTCTTGCGTGGCAGTTGGACCCATCGAATTGGGCCTTCAGGCCCAGTAATTAGGCGGTCCATGAAAGGCGGGGAGCCTCCTTTCTCTTTCAGTTGCATGGCTGTTGGCCCAGTACATAGGCGGTCCATGAAAGGCGTGGAGCCTCCTTTCTCTTTCCGCTGATGGCGATTGGACCTATCGAGTTGGGCCTTCAGGCCCAGTACTTCAGCGGGCCAGACAAATTCCTACGTGGCGATTGGACCCATCAAATTGGGCCTTCAGGCCCAGTACTTTAGCAATCCATGAAAGGCGTGGAGCCTCCTCTCTCTTTCCGTTGCGTCGAGGTAGAAATCTATTACTCGACTTCTGATGCTTCGTGCTGTGTTCTTCTGCTGCATTTTTTCTCATTCCCGCGAAAATATTTCTCTGCTTAATCTCTCTGCTTTCTCCTTCTTACTTCCCAGTGTAAGTACTGTTTCGTTATGATTATGGTGCTTTCAATCCTGATTCACTTCCCGCTTCAGGCTCTTCCGTATTAGTTTTCTCCGTGATTTGCAGATAAATTATGACTGCTAGACAGTGCGAACCCTAAAGTTCTCTGGATGTCTGATTAAGTTCTTCGAGGTGAGCTTTATGATCTTGATGATCTTCGTTGATTAGAAAATCATCTTTTGCAGAATTAGGGGCAGTTAACTATTTAGTGCCGGTTTGGTAATTTCTCGTTTCATAATTTAGAAGAAAGAAAAACATAGAACGTTCTTGGTTATTATTGTTATTATTTTCTCTTTCTTTATTGTAGAGTATGAAATGTTTAATACATCGAAATCATTTGTTTTGTTATCTCAAAGTTTAAATTAGGAAAACTAAAATTTTTCACATGAGAAATATCACAATTATTATGTCAATAGTTTATTTTTTAGTATTTAATGTGGAACTTTGAAGTAAAGATGACATATTGATGCTTCTATTTATGTTTTTTAGAAACGGGATATAAGACACAACAAGGGAACAATATCTTTTTGTTTCCAACAATGTCTTTTAAGTATGAGAAGAAAGAAATATCGTAGGTATACGTTCTTACGAATTTGAAATCAAGTAACTGAAAATGAGAAACAGAAATATGAAGAAGGTGCTCAGTTTACTTCTAGCATGAGATGGGGAGTTATATAAGCCCATTACATTTATGAAGAACTGCTTATAGTTTCGAGTTAGCAGAACAGAAGTTGTTTGTCTTTCATTACTATTGTCCCCCAGTCTATGTAGAAAAGTCTGTCTTAATATGACCATGTTCAAGCCTTTGGGTGTTCTAGCTTAAACACTGTGAACCAGTGATTTAGGAGGTGTTGTTACGCGTTTTAGGAAGAAAATCAGCATCACTTGCAAGATACTAATGAGCATTGGCACCCTAACTCATGTTATCTATGTGCACCAATATCTTAAATAGAATAAAAATAATTCATGTGAGGTTAATTACTTAAATTTATTTATTTTTTTCATTTATCAGTTTATAATTAGAAATAAATAAATTTAAAGTGTGTGAAGTAATTTGTTAAACAAATGTTGTCAATAAATTTAATAAAAACTATATAAGATAATTTTTTTTTGTAGTCAGTAAACAATTAAACGAATTTTTTAATTTTGTTCCTACCTGTCAAACAAAGTCTTCCAAATCTATGGTATCATATTCCTATAACTTTCTTTTTCTTTAGCTCTCTCTCTCCATCCCTCTTAATACATTTTGTTTGTTCTGGAATTTGATCTTGAGAGTTGGGAGCTATCTGTATGGTTTTGCCTCATGAGTTGACAGTCTCTAATGATATATGTTCATAGTATTACCTATGTTTATATTCATTAGAAAAGAAAGTATGGCAGGCTTATAGGTTTGTTCGTCACTGATTGTTAGATGTCAGGGGATCCTGTGGAGACTGAAGTTCTTGGGGATATTAATGGCTGCAGACCTAAGGAAAATAAAAATGATCTTATCCTGAGGCCAGTTTCTCAAGATGAATCTGGGGAGGGCTTGCCATATGCTCCTGAAAATTGGCCCAATCTTGGTGATAACTGGAGTTGGAGGGTGGGAAGGAGGGTTGCTATAACTGGTCATTTTCAGGATAGATACCTTTATTCTCCTCGTGGAATTGGTGTTTCCGGGAACTCATCTCGTAGAGGGCATGGTTTTGCAAGCAGGCTTTCAGTTGAAAGATATATCCAGTCTGAGTTCCCTGATGCGGACGTTGATGCATTTTTTGCCTCATTCAGCTGGAAGATACCAGCAAAGAAGTCTTCTTTAGCACAAGGTTGGCCTAATAAATTTTATCGTCTTCTCATCCTACTGGAAATTTAGCTGTTGTAGCCCCATTAACTTTATTATATAATCAGTTCTAGCATTCTCATCTTGCCACGTTTCTGAAATGACTGCTCTGTGGTTGAAGTGAATGCCTATTAAAGCTGAAATATTCCTAACATTTAAATAGTTGTCTTAATTGAAAGGGTTTCTGATGAGTATGTACTGCATTGAATTTATGTTGCATTAAATTTGTCTTTCTTGTTACAGGCAGTCTCTATACTTCCGTAAACTTATGATAAATTTTTTTGGTTTGATCATTGCACCTAATATTTTAGTTCCAGTGTCTCTGAAACCGTTGTCTTTCCTTCCTTTCTTATCAGAATTTAGATCTTATTTGTTGGTTGGTTCATTTTTGTTGAGTCAATGGCTAACAAGCTTGGCAGGTTAGGACTCCAGATTCTGACTTTTTTTGGAGTTTGACAAAATCCAACTAAATCGTCTGTACCTCAGTGGGATCTGTTGACGTTCTACTGTCATTTCGACAACAGCATTGTTCTACATAATAGTTTCTATATCATTAATATAAAATCAACATGCGTGTATGTGTTAGTTAGCTCACATCATATTTTCATTGAGTACCTTTTTTTGGCTTTTGATTGCTTTCTTAATAATTGTTATATTGTTTTTTTAGAGTCCTTATTTTACAGTTTTATCTTATTTAGGTCATCGAATAAAACAAATTTCATGCCCTTTGCCCTCAAAAGAGACGGAAGAATGCTCAGCATCTGATTCCCAGATTGATAGGGTGGTTTGCAAGGCGGGAAATAAAAACTGTAATAGTTTATCTGTTGCAGAAACTCCATCTTTATTAAAATCAATGTCCTGTGATATTTGCTGCAGTGAACCTCAGTTTTGCCGTGATTGCTGCTGTATACTTTGCAGCAAGACTATAGACACGACCATGGAAAGTTGTAGCTACATAAAGTGTAAAGCAATGGTGGGTGATGGCTATATTTGTGGACATCATGCCCATATAAAATGTGGTCTTAAATCGTATATGGCTGGGACTGTTGGAGGAATCATTGGATTGGATGCTGAGTATTATTGTCGTCGTTGTGATGCCAGAACGGATTTGGTCTCACATGTTGAAAGATTTTTGCAGTTATGTCAATCAACCGACTGTCGTGATGACATTGGGGAGATCTTAAGTCTTGGTTTATGCATTTTGCGTGGTTCTCGCAAAATGAGAGCAAAGGAGTTGCTAAGACATTTTAAATTGAACATTGCGAAGGTAAAGCTGATAAATTCTACAACTTAAATAATTTTACAATTTCTTAGTCTTGTGCTGCTTTAGAAACTTTACCATGCTATTTGACTTTGAATGCTTACGTCAGCTTAAAACTGGGACTTGCTTGGAAGAGGTTTGGAAGATGGAGGAAGACAGCTCAGCCAATTGCACTGGTAATTTATCTTCAAATCAAATAGCGCGGTTAAGTTCCCTCAGCAGTATAAGCCTGAGAATTATAATTCTATTTACTAGGGTCTTATCTAATTTCACTGGTAATTTTTCTTCAAATCCTGGATAACTTTGGAGAAAGATCTCATCAAATGAAAGTAGGGTCTGATTATTCTACATACTCGAGCAAACTCTTCTGAAGAACAACGTCAAGTGGTTAATTATATAATCTGTCAAATATCTTGTATGTTCACCATCATTTACACCATCAATCTTTCATATTCTTGCCTGTTAGGAGAATGATTTTGTACACGCTTATTAAAAAAAATATTTTGGTATTTTATGCACAGATGCACCTGATAATGCTGATTCTACAGAAGGCTCTCATGACAATTCCGACTCCATTATCAGCTCAGAGTGGACTATCTCCACTCCTTTTGATCATTGGATTGAGTCCCTAAAACTTGAAAATGAGATTGATCAGGTTCTGCAGGCACTGAAAAAATCACAAGAGTTTGAGTATAATTTAGCAGAAGAAAAGCTTCTATCACATAAAAATTATCTACATAATCTCTTTCAGCAACTTGACAAGGAGCAAATTGAACTTGGACATCAATCATCGTCAACAGGACAAAATGTTTTCCTGGATAATGTAACAAACAGAGTGGATCAAATAAAACGAGAAGTTAAAAGGCTCAAGAGAATGGAAAAGGTTGCTGATGGATTTGGAATGACTCCTAAAGATATCCTCAAGGAGGACTTCGATTTGGATGTTGAGTAGATACACGGACGCCTTAGGCCGTTGTGATGCCGCACAAAAGTTCACTGAACTCTGTTGGTTCTTTTAGCCTTATGTGGGCTTTAATAGTTTGTTATTACTGTTTATTATTTGGCTTCACGAGGCTGTGTATGATATCGAGAAGTCATTTCTACTTCGCAAGTAGATTTTACTTTATGAGAATAGCTGGATTCAGTAAGCAAGATACTGAAACTGTGCAGTTGTGGAGTTGCCGGAAAGAGTTTAGATTAGAGATATTTTGGTGTCTTGTGTTCAACCCTCTGCAATGAGTTTTCACGGTAGGCCTTCATATCAATTTCTCAACACGATACATTTTAAATTCTGTACTGATCAAACTGTCTGTTCTTCTCCTGTTTGATGTCCTTATTACTTATATATTGAATGGATGAACAACAAATGAGAATTAGAAACAAGCATTGCTTTAGGATAGATACTTTAAACCAACTAACAATCTTTCTCGCTTGAACTCTCTGGAAACGATTATTTATGTTTTGAATTCTCAAGAATATTGGAACTCTTCTCAGATAAACTTCCTCGCCCCCGTTGGTTGCTTGACGGATTTGGTTTTAGTGGCTTCTGTGGAGCTCAATTGAGGATCCTGTCTGTTTGGTTCAGGCTTCTTATCACTACATGCCGAAGAGGTACTTTCTTCTGATAACAGTGCTAAAATTAGAACATATTTGAGGCCCCCTAAAAAAAAAAGAAAAGTCGATTCCATTTATTACATAGAAAGGAGGCTTAGTGGAATGTGGTGAAACCGCCATTTTATTTATCATCCTGATGATGATGATTTTGGGACCTACTGTTGACAGTTGACGTGTGAATGACTTTCTTCTGTTCACGACAAAAAAGGTCGGCTACTTTCTTTGTTATTTGGCTTTTCCATCCTTACTAATGTATTTTTGCAGCTGTTCTTTGAGACCGTAGTGATGATGCAAAGTTTTTCCCCATCAACGAGTTCAATATCAATATATATATTTTTGGTTGTTTAATCGAAAATACGAATAGTTTTGGTATCTTTTTCCCCCCCATTTTATTCCAGGCCTTCTGATTAGTTACTTGGCCCCCAATAAAGTCTCAGAAAATGCCTCCATAATGCATGCATGACGCCTCCTTATTTTGTTTAAATTTGATAGACTGAAACTAAACCGAATATGAAGCTAGGGAAATCTGGTGTTGTGCTGAGATGAACTTAGTTACTGGATCCTACTATATTTATAGAACAAAACTAAACCCCGCATTTTTATTCATAATGAAGAATGATCGTAATAAGATAATATCAGTGGTTTTTGCCAAATTATTGAACGATGTGTCTGGTTCGCAAATTAGATTTGTATAGTCTAAATATGCGAGATTATGTGCTTCTTTTATGTAAATACAAACTTATGAAGTCGTCCTCTTAATAATTAGTTTTAATAATGGGATTGTAGGCCACAGCGATGCAGTCATTCCACGTCCAAAAGTACTATGATGAAAGTTGGGATCAACGCCTGATTCATATGGTCAGCCACATGGTACAACAATAACTCTTTTGGGCTTTTGTTTGTCATATTGTATATAGAGACAAGCACATAAAGCTCTCATTTTTCTCTTGCATTTAATTTTAATGACTGAATATAGAATCTGTGTCAATATAAGACACTCAAAATTCTCCAATTTCACAATAATCTACTTTCGAAGGGGGAAAGATATCTGAACTATAAAATTGTAACCAGATAACTTAGCTAAAAAATTTGTATTATTTATTGACATGAGAAAATTGACAATACATTTTCTATTCGAAAAGATATATTAGATGGTTCTTCAATATTAAAACTACTGCTTGGATGGGTACCTCTCAAGGGTTGGAGGAGGATAGAGGATGCACAATCTACTTAAGGTATTTGATACTGTATAAAACTAAGTCACCAAATATTTATTCGTTATATTTCTTAAAGTTCTTGTCAATTTGATCCTAATTCAACAAATAGATATTATCAATTAAGAAGTCGAAAGGTTAAATATCTAAGAAAATCTAGAAAGTGAATCATTAACCTCAACACCAAAAACCTATGAGTTTCCATCGGCTAATAAAGCAACACCAAACATGACCCATGGAAAGACTTAAAAAAAGAGAGAATATCAAAGAGCATGAAGATGAAGACAGCTATTGCTCAAATGAACAGGTCAACCATCAAAACAAAAAAGGAGATCTAAGGAAAGAGAATAAGCAAACACTTGGGATTTAGGAATAAGAATTGGTCAACTTAAACGTGGCAGATATGAAAAAGGGCTTAAAAGAAGGTTTTATGGTATCTATGGCTAGCTAGCATGAAAAGTGCCACATAAAAAGTAAGGAGCCCATGGCCACATATAGGGAGGGACCCATAAATGAGCAAGAAAAAGAAGCAATACTTTACGAATCACATATAAGGACAATTGTTCGAGGTACACGCAATGGAAATATAATACAAAATGGCTAAACCACTAAAGAAACAATCAAGCCTCAGGAACAGTATACAGGCCATTAAGAAATGAAAGCAAAGGAAGAGAGTATGAAAACAGCTTCTCATCTTAACCATCCAATCCAGTTATCAGTTGTTTTCATTCAACCCAACAGATATCAATTCTGATATAAACATTAGCCCCTAAGAGAAAGCCCAAATTTGAAATCAGGTTATAATAATGGTGAGAAAAGAAAAGGAGTTCAAAAGAGTTTGAGTATTACGTTTTTAAGTTCTATGTTTATGTTTGAGACAAGGGATAAACAGAGATTCAACAAGGGAAGCTAACAGGAAATCTGAAACAACATATAATAATGTTGAAGAAGGAAATTTCCAACAGTTAGTACAAAAACGAAAAAAAAGGGTAAGGATTAAATTACTGTACAAGAACAAGCCGACCTTCCATTTCATCTCCCCAGATGTCTCCTCCACCATCATCAGAATTCTCCTCATTCCCCTTTGGAACAGTAACTATAAGCTCTCCATCAACAAACGCCGCACTCGCAAGCTCTGGACGCGTCGTCTCCGGTAGCCGAAACCTCCACATGTCCAATTCGAGCTCATCCATTGTCATTTCCAACGACGCAGTTTCCCGGACAACGATCTTAATAACCCCTGGATGGATTTCCACAGCATGAGCCCTAACTCCATCGCTTATGTTACCGTCAGTTTCAGCAATGAATCGGAAACAATCGGGATTCTCCTCAACCAAAACATCTGCATCAGATCGAAAAGGAAGCTCGAGGACTCGACTGAAGACATGAGGTAATCTCCTGAGTTTCTTGTGGTTCAGAAGGGATTGATCTTCGAGGGAGTTTCTCGAATTGGGGTTATTCCGGACGGCGATATTGCGCTTCCTCGGCAATGGGTGGACCTTCATGGCGGTGGTGGTGTTGATTTCGAGCTCCTCGACACTCGCAATAGGTTCTGAAAGGGCGACGAGGGCCAGAACCAAAATCAATAGGGAAATCAAAGATGCCCTAGAAATCTGGATGGAATTGGCGTTGAGAAAAGGGAAGGGGGGAATCATAGAGAAATCAAAGGAATTGGTTTGGATGAAAACAAAATAGAAACGGAATTGGTATAAGAACCCTAATCTTCGGAAATGGGGACTGAAAAGGGAATAAATTCATCGAAGGATTTCAGAGAATTGAGAAATGGAATCCAAAGGAAGGAAGGAGAAAGGCATTTGAGGAAGAGGGAGGAGATGAAGACCGGAGAGAATCGCTCAGCACATAAGGGAAAGTTTTATTTATTTATTTTTAATTTCTTTTATTTCTATATTCAACCTTTAATTTTGACGAAATTACAAAGTCGGTCTGTTATTTTACAGCAAATTACAGGTGGATAACTTCGGTATAAAATTTATGTTTATTCAAATTTTATACCTTCGCTTATATTTCCTTTATTGAGAGAATTTAAAATTCATATAATTAAGGTTTTTACAATTTATAATAATTAAGTTTTTCAACTTTAAAATTTATAGTAATTAACTTCTTATGGTAAAAGACAAAAAAATTACAAAAAAAATCCATTATCTTTCTATTAAAATTTATTTAATAGGTTCATGTAATAAATATTTGAATTTTATATTTTCTAAATTTTCACTTGTGTGTCGATTATTAAACAAATTAAAATATTTAGAGTTATATGAGATAAAATTTAAATATATAGATAACAGATCAATTATTATTATTTTTTTTTTGTTCTTGACCAAATTGAATATGTCATAAATTTATTAAATACAAAAATGAAAGATTAAGAACTAATAAAGGGCTTAAAGTTTATAAGCCTATGGGACAAATTTTTTTAAGTTTTAGACATTTTTTTAATGTTTAGAATCAAATAAACACAAACCTAAAAGTTTCATTTTTTTAAAATAAAAATATTGATAAAATATCGGTCAATTCAGGAGCCGAACTTTACTTTAAATCAACAAAATTTTAGCAATCAAACCATCATCCACAGGAATAATGATCCGAGTTAAATATAAGTAACATTCTAACCCTGTTCAACAAAAATATTACAAAAAGAAAAAATTGTTCTTCAAAAAGAGAGAACAATAACTTCTTATATCTACAATATTTAGATCTACATGCCAAACTTGAACGATCAAAGCCTTAGCTTTGAATTAAAAAGAGAAAATAGTAGGGATCATGGGGTGCAATCAAGCTTAAGATCCCAAATTGATAAAAGCTTCAAATTTGATTTTAAAATCACCACTTTTTCTTTCCATTGCTCAGTCTCAGAACCCAACAAAGATTTTGACCACAAAATAACCAGATTAAAAAGGATGGGTACTTACAAAAAGCATCTCATCTAAACCCCCACCACAAAAATGAGAGAAAAAAACGTTGGTTATGTCAGTTAATGGGTTTGTATCTTTCAACCAGAACCACTAAAAAAGGGGGAAAGAATCTCATATTAATGCAAAAAAGACAAAGCATGAAGCTTCTAGTTAGTTATTATAGGATTAAAGCTAAGACAACAGAGGCATTTACCATCTTGACGCGTATTCCTAGTCGTCTTGCTTGTGTAGGACCTTCATCACGCCACACGTTCTGAAAAAACAAAGATTAGAAAATTGAGCAAATGGAAAAGAGATTGGAGTTTCCAACCTTCAACCACAACCGCGTTCTCTGAAATACCACGCTACTGCCTTATGATCATTGTCTCTGTAAGTGCTCCGTTAGACCATGCACTATGGATGGCTATGGCTTCTTTGGATATCCAGGCCATCAATTCAGTAATGGTCAGGAATCATAAAAGACCCTGGTGGAAACGATTTCACAACATTTTTTTTTCCTATGATTGGCAAATAACAACATTGCACTCGAAGTGCACAAGTATGTCTAAGATTCCTCCTTCAACTGCATTATTAGGTACAAAAATGTTTTTTTTTTTTTTTTAATTATTTCTTCAATGAAAAGTTTCCTTTTTTTTTTCCTTTTAACTTCTTTGAATTAATAGAACCTGAAATTACACATGTTCAAAGTCTGTTGGCATTGTCTGGTTATGTCTTCGATGCCGACGATTGTATCTTTTACTGCGATGGTGAGATTTGGGTGATGGACTAGAGGCACTAGAGTGTTGAATTTCTTCTTCTCTTGTCAATGTACCAAAAATGTAATCTAGAGGGTCTGCAGTAGCAGCATCAGCGCCCGGCTTAGTCTGCATATAACAAACGTTCAAATCAGACAAAACGATGGACAAACTCCCAGTGAATCATCCCATTTGAATAAACTGCATTTAATTTCCTTTGGTGCAAGGCAACTTGTGGAGAACCACGAAGATACTTCCTTGCATCTCTGGTAAATACTTTTCAACTTCAGGAACTTTATAATTACATGATTTTGAGGATGCTTAGTTGAAGTTCGTAAGCATGGAAGGAACACAGTTTTTGATATTTGGACTTCCAAATTTTGAATTCAGATTCCAGTCTTTATGATCCACGTAACTATTATAACATTAAGATCAATCCTACCCAAATTGATGCCCAAATATGAAATAATGAAAAAATTCGCACAATGAAAATCATGGGATGCACAGATTGGTGCCTCCTTGGATTATACAAGATTTCCTTGTGTTTTGATCACTATAGCACACAATTCATTTTTGAAGTATAAAGGCAGAAACTGAGTAAACAAACAATCATAAAAAAATTGAAGAAGTATTAGTCAGAGGGGCAGAAACTGAGTTATTGCACTTACAAGGACTGGCGTGAACTCAAAAGCATTTCCTTTGTCATCAGGCTCACCATAGGAATCACTCTGGTTAGGATTGGAATCGCGGTTGGATGAATCATGGTGGTTTCCATGCAAGTTGTCCTTAGGGTCATTGTAATGCGCCCTCTGAGCATGCGCAACATCATCACTAAAGAAATTTCGATAACGCCACCTTATTTTTGGCCGGTCCAAGGTTGAATCGTCAAACACTTCCTCATAAAAAAAATGCTTGGATATGTGCTGCATGGTACGAGGATCATTGTGATTTTTCGTCACTAAACTGCAATGAGAAAATAATTACTGGTCATTACAAGAGAACTCACCATGTAACGACATTATAAAACCCCAGAAGTTGAGAATAGGATCCAAAAAGTATGAGATACCAAGATCAGTATCACTGAAATTTACTAAACTATGGTAACATTAATAATAAGCTGATGAGTTATTCATAGTCGAAGTAAGCTAATATAAATAGATAACACCCTTCTTTCTCTAATTAAACCAGCTTCCAAGTACTTCAGCACTCGAGCACTGACTCGAAGCCCAAAAGATACTCTATGGTTAGTCCCCTTGCTTCTCGAATTAAGCCAGCTTGAAAGTATTTTTGCTCACATAATAACACCTATTCTCTTGGCCACTATGCGGGGATAGTGACTATAGACGCCTACTTTGTCAAATTTAAATAGATTATAGCACTGCTGGCTTCTGTTAATGTGCTCATTATTCATAACAAGTAAATAGGAAGACAACATCAATAATTCTAGCAATAGATATAAAAAATAAAGAACAAGCATATAAAAGGATTTTTTTTTTTTTGGGTAAGGGACCGAGCTTTCATTGAGAAAAATGAAAGAATATAAAAAGCCATACAAAAAACAAGTCCAACAAAGAGATTCAGAAAACACAGCCTACGAGAAGGGACTCAAAACCAACAAGATCAAATGAAGATAATAATTACAAAAGACCCAAAGACAGATGCATTAAACCTCAACTCCTCCCAAATCTCGCACGACCTCGCCACCCCTCGAAAGGGGGTATATAACAAGGTTTTAACTCATAGATCCCAGCAACAAGCTACATCATTCAGATATTTTAGCCGACTCATAACTTTAGGTGTTGATTTTACGTGGTTCTTCATGGACATCAATAAGATTTGATACTAGCATGACTCTGTTAGAAAATTCCAATATTAATAAGGGCGAGTGACCTACATATTTGCCAACTCCTTTTGCATTCTACTTCCATCCAGAGCAAGGATATGATCAACGCATGAACTTAGGGACCTGCTAAATCTCCTTAATCCAAATAACGCACCAGCTCCTGCCATTATACAATCCCCTTGATAAATGAATTGAAAAGTAATTTCCACACAACCTAAAAATGAGCAATTAATTTTGCAAAAGTGTTTGTGTGAGAGAGAGAGTTCATCTCACCTCCAGAAAGATTTAGCCGAACGAATTTATTCAGCCTCCATGTTCCTGTCAGAGCAAACTAAAGAGTGATCAAAGGAATAAATGAAGGAGGGAGCAGGCGGAATTGCAGCTTCAAGATGCCGCAAACATTTAACTGATATATATCCGAGTGTGTGCTATTTCTTGTACGCTAGAAAAGCAACACAGTTCTTTTGATAGGGCACACATCATCACTAAACCCTAAACCCTAAAGCTAGGTTTTATCTTTATTTGATAAGGAGGGAACGAGTTATTCTACCATCAAAATGTTTTTTTTTTTTTCTTTTTACATCTTGAGTGTCAAGGGCTCAAGTCTTTAGATTATGGTTATGGCTTTCCCCACTAATCCCCAAGGAGGATTTTTCCACTCCAATGCCTGCACAAATAAAGATTTTAAGATTTTTATACAAGGGCTTAAACCCAGGACCTTTGAGGGTATCTTAAAATTGAGTATAATCCACAAGAAATTCACACGTATTTTTTACTACTTGCTTTTAAAGAATATCACCGATTCAAACTATTTAGTATTTTATACGATGTTCTAGCATCTAGGGGCATAAACACGTAAATATTGAAAATTTAAAAGTTCCCTCTGGCCTCTAGGTATCCTCATTGTATCATATTTTCAGATGAAGGAAGATGAACTCTGCTGGATTTTACAACATACCTGCCCATGTCACACCACCTCCAACGAGAAATCCAAATGTAAAATCTCGAACAGCCTTTGACTTACATGTTTGGAGCACATTCGCTTCCTCGATCGTCAAGCTGTTCTATGTTGCAAAAATGAATAGACGTAATAAGTTCAACGAAATTGAAGAAAAAAAAGAAAAAAACAAGTAAAATCGTAGGGATCAACTTCGACAGCAGAACTTGAAACCACATCTTGCAATCAACCGATGAGCAAAAGGCAATTCTACGCTCGAACCAAAATTAGTACAGCAGTTCAACTAGGAACTAATTTAATGCCGGAAAGGAGCTCAACGATGAATCAAATCAATAAAAAAATGGAAAAAAAGACTCTTCAGGGTTCTATATAGATCCTTGTCAACAACCAATTCCAAAAAACTAATATATACGCTGTAGAGGAACTCGAAGTGAGATTGATAATGTGCAAATTCCGGAATGGAAGACGAAGGGAAGGGGAGAATTTTAGTGGAAAGTGAAATACCTGTTTGGACCTGAGAACTTGTTCGAGTTCAAATAAAGCTTCGCCCATGTCGGAGCTCCGATCACCACGACTAAACGGGGCAAGTGAAACCTGAGATGTAAAGATGCAAATCCCTCCCGAGGACGGTACAGACTAATGGGCCTACAATATTGGGCCTCGGCTTGTCACCTTTATGGACCAGTAAAGCTTTTTGGCCCAACTTTAAATTTAAAAGTCTTTTCCTTTTAGAATCGCATGTTAAAAAATAAATTAAATTCAAATAAGAAAAAAAAAAAAAAAAAAGAGGAGGATTTCGCGGGAAGACTTTCCCGTTCTCCGGCACGGCTCCATTTTCCCCGTCCACCATGGGCGAAGCTTAACCCAAACACAATGGAAACGCTCAGCCATTTAACCTCCATCCTTCCTGTACAACTTCAGACATACCCCACCAGGCCCACCGCTCTCTCCGCCGCCTCCAGCCTCCTCCCTCTCAAGCAAGTCCACGATCGAATCCTCCGATTCAAATTCGAACGCTCCGATTCTGATTCCCGAGATTCATGGGCTCGTGTCAAAGTTGGGATTTGGGTCAGACCCATTTGTGGAAATGGGGTTGGTTAGAATGTACGCAGGCTGTGGAAGGATAATGGAAGCTCGGTTGGTGTTCGATAAAATGTCTCACAGGGATGTCGTTACTTGGAGCATCATGATTGATGGGTATGAAACTAATGTCGTTGCTCTGCATTTACTAGTGATGATGAATTCGGTAAAATTCATTTGGTTTAAAATTTTCTTGCGAAGTTGGAATCCCCTGGCCACATGTAACTTTGTGTGTATTCTTGTATGCCAAATGTGGGAGTCTAGAAGGAGCGAGAGAAGTCTTCAGAAAGATGCCAAAGAAGAATGTAATATCTTGGACAAGTATGATTAATGCTCTTGCAATACATGGAGAATCTGCTCATAATGCTTTAAGCCTATTACATCAAATCTTCTGGGAGAAGCTCTTGAGGTGATTGAAGCAATGCCATTTGCTCCTAATGCTATTATTTGGGGATCCCTTATGGCGGCTTGTCAAGTCCACGGTGAAGTTAGATAACTAATGAATTTCAAATGGCAGACAAAGCACAAGCAAGCAGATCTAATATATCAAAAGTTGGATGGGGGTAGTTCAAATGTAACAACTAAAGTTTTTGTCCTTTAAGTATCGCCTTCAATCTCATGGTTTTAATGTGTCTATTAGGGAGTGATTTTCACACCAAGGAATGTTTCGTTCCCCTCTCCAACCGATGTGGAATCTCAAATCCACCTCCTTAGCGCCTAGCGTACTCGCTAGCACACCCCCCAATGTCCAACACTATGAGGCTGACGACAATACGTAATGAGCAAAAATTGACAATAGGTGCTAGCCATATGGGCTAGGGCTATTATAGTGGTATCAAAGCCAGTCATCGAGCGGTGTGCCTGTGAGAATGCCTCACCTCAAGCTAGGTGGATTGTGAGATCTCACATCGGTTAGAGAAAGAAATGAATCATATCTTATAAAGATGCGAAAACTTCTCCCTAGAAGAGACGTTTTAAAAACCGTGAGGCAGATGGTGAAATGTAACGAGCTAAAGCAAGAAACTGGCACTTATATCAAAAGTTGGCAAAATGTAACGAGCTTGGAAAGATTGTGAATGAGCGTTGCGAGAAACCGTAACGAGTTAAAGTCAGAAACTGTGAGACCAACAATATCTATTAGCAATGAGTTTCAGCGATTACATCAAGAGTTAAAGAGACAAATTGTGTGCTCACTAATTTAGACGAAGAGGAAAAGAACGAATTAGTCCTCTGGCACTGCCCTCATGAATGAAGGGCCACGCATTTGCATGCTTTCATGAAATTAGCCTCAAAGGTTTATGGCAGAGAGATCTAAGCTTCACCATTACAGAGAGGGTTCGTGTTCTTGTAAAGACTACTGGTGATCAATTAACGTAAGTATACAGTCTATTAAAATGTTCATCAATTCTCTTGCCAGAAAAAGAAACCATCAAATAGATAGAAGAAGCCCGATTCTCTGAAGTTACATTTACAGATAGCATCAACTAACATCTTGATCCTAAAGACACAACACACAAGGAAACATTTAAACAAAATTTCAAAAGCTTCTCACCAGAGATGAGATGATCTCCTTTCTCCTCATGTTGGAGTCTTAAAATCACGAGTGGCTGTAATAATCTCATGAAACTTGGTTCCAACATCCAAAAACACCCAAACCTCGTTCTTCAGTCTTCTTATAACTTTCGTCATCCAATGTTTGAAGAAATCTGCAGCCATAACATTCAAGCTCGAGTTCTCTAACAATGAGCTCTGTCGATACTCAAGAACCCATGTACGAGGATCTAAGTGCACGGCCGAGGCACCCCATTTGTTCTGTACCCAAGAAGTATTCGCCTCTCGAACCAGGTAACCAATCCCTCCGTCAGACCACTAAGAAACAGAAAGACCAAACAAATCAATGGGGTTTCTTTAAGTTTTCCTGTCCATTGATCAAACTCAACAGGTTTTGTGTTTACCTCTGTAACTCTGCCTGATAGGATTGTGAATGAGCGTTGTGAAAACCCGGTTCGAAGCAATCCAGCAGTCTGCAGAGGCCATCCCCATATGCTCACTGCCTCTGTGGCTGATTTGTACATTGTACACTTTGAACATAAGAGCATTCCCTCCTGCAATGGAAGAACAAGTTAAGAACACGACTGAAATTATACCCAAACAGAGCCGATTGAATCTACCTGGTCAATTTCCCAATATGAATTCGAGTGACTGCAATTTGAAATCTCCCCATTCACCATCTCCTGCAACACTCTCTGCAAAACCCTAAATTTTCCATTCAAATCTTCCACGAACTGAGATTTCTTACTCGCAGTTCTAACAATTTCCGCCGATAGTTTCGGTCGAAAAACCGCGGCGATCGCGCATGAAAACCCAGAAGTCGCCGCAAAAATCAAGCAAATAACAAAAATCAACGTCACGAACCGACGGAACTTACTCGAATCTTTTTCCCCTTCCTCAGCTTTAAATCTCGAAGTCAATTTCACTGGAGATTTAAATTTAGGGTAGTTCAAGATCCGAGAGGTACCGGAAGTCGGTGTGGTCAAAATCGAAGGGTTAAAGGAAATCGGAGTGGTTTCCAGATTAGGTCTTGAAGCAGAGAGCTTCGTGAGGGAGCTTTTCTGGACACTGTAAGGCATTAGGTCTAATGTGGCGTTGATACTGTCCAAGCAAATCTTGCAGTTGCAATTAGCATCTTTCCGGCAGCCAGGGTAGTAACAGCTGTCACGGGCTTCCGATCTCTCATCTTCTTCCCCGGCGAAGGTGACGGGGGTGGTGGCGGCGGTGGTGGCGGTGGTGATGGTTGAATTTGAAGAAGCTGAGGATGAAAGGACCGTTTTCATAGCTTCTTTTTTGGGTTCCGTCTCTCAATGACCAAATTTTCAGCGTGAATGAAAGAGAGAGACTTGAAAATTTATTCCGAGATGAGAGAGATTTGGTTTCGAAATTTGAATTGGCAACGGTCATACATATGATGCCACGTGGGATCTATATCTTTTTTGGCTACCTAGTCAAATATATTTTCCATATTATTTTCATTAAAAGAATATATTAATTATTTTATTCAGTTTCATCTTTACATAATTTAGGAAGTTTATACAAAAACTTCCATATTTATGCTACACATCACTTAGCTCACATATTTCATATCCTTTATTGTCTTAAATATTAGTCTTAGTTAATCTTTTTTTTTTTTTTTTTTTTTTTTTTTT